GCCACTGTGCATGTGTGGATGTTGGAAAGTGATGTGCTAGGAGCAGCAAGAAGCTAAAACAATGGCAGATAACATATAAAAGAGAGACAATATGGACAGCAGTTGAATGTGTTGGTCCTTCACACTGGGGAGCACAGCTGGGGGTTTTTAAGACAAGTCATAAGAACAGCAAAGGTGGCCTGACCAGAAGTGGGAAGAATCCCTGATCCTTCCGGACAAGTGTCTGTTGCAGGGGCCCAGCACTGCTCAGAACGAAGCCAGGGAATAGGTAGCACATGCTAAACTATGGGTCCTAATTCCTGCCCTTGTGGAGGAAAGAAGGCACTTGACGGCTTTGTTGCCTCCCTCATGTTGTGGAGGAGCATACTATGTGCTTCTGGAGCACCTCAGCTAGGCAGCGGGGGAGCACCCCACCCAGCAATGAACAGCCCTGCATAACCTTCAAATCCAGAGCCTGCCAGACACAGCCTCTGCTGGCTACTCACCAAGGGCCAAGAGCACTAACTCCAGGGCCAACCACAGCCAGTGCAGACCTGGTTCTCACAGCAGCTCTCTACAGCATCAAGACACAAACTGGGGACTGCTTACAACCCTGAGCCAGGTGTGGAAATTCTACCCCCAGAAGGCAGTCCAGTGCTTTCTCACCCTGTTACAATTCTTGTTGCTGTGTGGGTGGCTCACTGCAAGTGAAACCAGCAGTGGCTGAGCTGGGGAGAAGCAGCCAACCTCAAACTCTTCAGCTTATGGCAAATTCCCCCGTGTCTAAGAGCTGGGGAAACAGCGGCAAGTAGGAAAGTCCCAGTGCTGTGTTAGTCACCGACTTGGTAACCTTCAAGCAGAGGACAAACACCACACTGCTGTGAATGCCCTGCTCTTATACAATGGAGCACAGACAGGACCATGGAAGCAACTGATCCATCACTGAACTGGGACAGGATCTCCTCAGGATGCCTGCCACACTCCACAGACTGGGGCAGGTCTAGCACAGTCATCCCTCTATCAAAGACAGGCTGTGGGTCACAGGCTGGTATTATACCAACTCTTGCCATTACAATTGCCTCTCTGCATTCAGAATACAGAATTTTATGTCTCCTGCACAGATGATCAGTTTTGTAGAAAGTATTCTGGCTAAGAGAAAAAAAATGAAGAAAACAGCTGCTCCTTCCCCCTGTGCAGCTAAATGTGCCACAGCAGTCAGTTCCCCACTCTGTTCATCTAGGGCTGCAGCCAGTTTTTCTTCTCTTTTCATCTTGCAGTCTTGCTGGAGGGGTAGAAGGCGACTGTGTGGAAATTTCCATGTTGTAGAAAGCCACAGAAGGGACATGGTGGAAGCAGGACAGCACAAGGGACAAACGGAGCAAAGCACCTTTGGCCAGAGTATAGCAGAGATGTAAAGTTCCTCTCAACATTGCTTTCTCCGCTTGTCAAAGGAATGAGAATAGTCAGGACTTAGCAAACCAGTGGTGCTGCTGATGGCTGTTACTAGGTACTCCAGGAAAACACACCGAGGTACAGCAATTTAGTAAGCTTTAACATTGGTTATGTGTGTTAGTGAGGTACCTGGAAAGTGCCCTCTTCCTCACTTGGCTGGTTTTTTCCTTTGTTTTGGAGCAACCTGGTTTGACAGACAATAGTCCTGCAGCTGAAAACCAGATCAGTTCATTGGTCTCATTGCTCTCATTGTCAGCAAGTTCATACTGAGCTGTTGCTTGGCTTCCGACCTCATCACCACAGTTTAGTCAGAGGGGCCTTGAGGGCTGTGTGCCGTGATGAAAAGCTGACAGCATGACATGGCTGCCTCAGTCATAGCAGTGTGGTGAAAAAAATTAAAATTCTGGGTAACGTGTGATTGTGATACATCACCATGCGGGAGCCTGGGGCTGACCTTGTACTCAGCAATCTGCAAAGGCGGGGGGGTGGGGATGATGATCTGTGTGCATGTGCACAGATGCCTACATTGCACGGGCACAGATCCCCTGAGAATTAGTCAAAACCACCTATTCTTTGTGAAAGCAACTGTATGCAAAATTACACACTTTGGAAGCACCTCTGTCAGAGCTAGGATACAAACTGCACAAATCATGCTCCCTAAGGAGTCTTCTACAGAAGAGGAGAGACCAAACTGTCCTCTCAGTCTCAATTCACTAAGGAGTTTTGCCACATAATTCCATGGTCAGAGGTAAACACTAGTGAGCAGGGTTTTGGAAGTCACAACCCCCTCATTTGGTTCTCTCACCCTTTATGCCTTTGGCCATGTCGCTGCTAGAATGCAAAACCTAAAAGAACTTATTTTCTTAGATAAAGTTTGTAGCTCATGATGGATAAGCACTTGGACATCCTTGCACCCTTGCCTGAACAATGCAGGGTCCCAAAGCAAGAAGCAGAAACAAGTTATTTGAAAAGCTGACTTCTCCTTCACCCTAAATTAACTTATCCCTACCCCCAAGAACTTGACCCCACATCCTCAAGCCCCTGTTCCATACTACTCTCACCCTTGTCCTGTGTTATCGTTAGTTTGCCACAGGCAATGACAAACCTTGTGATCGATAGGAATTTGCCAACAGCTGTTCTGTAGAGGTGCACATTTCCAAGGAGCTAACTAACACTGTTCAGAAAGAAGAGCAAGAAAAAAAAAGGCAAGGCCGTGTCATTCTCTGTAAAGGAAAAGCAGTGTATCAGAACTAGTTTCTCCTGAACTGGGAATACACCTGCTTTTCTCAGGAACCCATTTCACTCAGGGTGAGTCAGGTTGCTAATACTTGGTAGGCAGCCAGGTGAGAAAGATGTGGAGGTGGAGCTATTGTGAGTGAGTAATAAATAGCATTGTAACTAGGCTAACGCTCAGCACAAGCCTCCACTTGCACTGCAGTCTTACAAAACAAACTGAAAAAACACTGAAAATACACTTCATACAATCAGTAATTCTCTGTCCTGGTAGGAGCCCTCCACTAGCTAAAAAGGACATGCTTGGAGGGTCCCAGCCTTCAGGAATTAAGTTCCTCTCTTGGGAGGGTAAGCTGCCTTTGCAAGCACAGGCTGGTCCCCGGGAGGTTTGGCTCAGGCCAGTATACCTCGCTGGCAGTCCTGGGAGCCAGCCCAAAGTCAGAACTCCCACACGCTCTGGGCAGATCATCACCTTAGGCCAGAAACCTGTCATCCGAAACCTACCTGTGTTTTATAGCCCAGCAATAGCTCCAGATGGCAAGAGTGGAGGCAGCGGAGGACAGAACACGAACTTGGCTCCCGCTGCAGTCATGCACTGTGTGTATCACAGGACAGGGGGTGAGCTGGCCAGCCCCCCAGCCAGCCCCTGTGTTTATCACCAGTTCTGGGTTATGCAAAGGCATAGACACAGGGCTCCCCCTTCTCAAGGAGTTACAGTTTGATTTCACCAGAGAAATACTGAAGGGAGAGAAGGGGAAGAATACCCATGCACAGAAAGCCATCCAACAGAAATAAGCAGGCAGGAGGGCACAGCTATGTAGATGAAAAAATAGCCAGGGAAAGGCAGAATGAAGCTGGGGCTCAGCACAGAAGTGCTACTGCAAACAGCTTTCCAATCCTAGCCTGAGCAGATGTCTCCTAGCTGCTCCAGCCAAGTGCAAGCCTTCAGGAAGATTTCACAAAGAGCACAAGGGAGAGTGCAGGAGCAGAAGGGGAAGAAAGCACCACTGGTGTCCCTGCATCTCCCTTAACAGCCCTGTGCTACTACAGTAAACAGTGAGTAACCCATTCTGGGTAGCTGCAGTAACTAGCTGTGGGATTTTGCTTAAACTTGACTTTGCCTGGATTTAGGGAAGTGAGTCAGCTTACCCATGAGGCAGACCACAGCCTCTATGCATCTTCCTGTTCCACCATTTCTGTGCCAGTTTGGTTGACGGGTCCTGGAAAGCCTCTTCATCTGTCTGCCTACCAGCCCTCCCATTTGTGCTGATGTTAACTACAGCAGTGACTGCCCTCAGGCAAAGAAAGAGTATTTCTGATAGAATTAAACCTCACCTAAGTGAAAATAAAATTCAACCTGATATTTTCAGTAAAGACAAATAAATAACATGTTCATCAGCACCTTAGCTACAAGCAGTAAGATCTTTCACTAACCACCACCTTAGTGAAAGTGTGCTACAAACATTAACTATCACATCTAATACAGACACTTCACTGTGGGTCTCCTTCCAGGGCTTACATACCCTTTTTTACCACTGCAAAATTGATGCATAGATACCTCAACTACCTGGCCAACCTGAACTTTGAAGAGAGATCTGCAGTACAAAAACCTTACTTACAAAACATGTTAAACCAGTTTCTGTGCTTAGCATTATTGTTTCCTTCCTTAGGAAGGGCAATGCAAATAGGGTTCTCTAAATAATGAGAATACACATGTATATTTTAATACACATAAAATTACTTAATGGTTCTTAACTATTTTGTGCCACTGCTGGCATACTAGGGTGGAATTTACCATAACAAAATAAATGATAATGCCCTAGTTCAGTTGTGCATAAAACTTTTGGAACAATTATCCAACAGGAAGTATATGCTGCCTTAAAGCTGCAGGCATAATTCCCATTCTGACTGGACAAGAATAAGAAGCCAAAAAAATGTTCCATCAGTTTAGGGAGTCTGACCATAAACTGGATAAACTTTCTGGGAAAACACTGCTTAGAAATGTCTGCTTCCATTTACAGCTGTAGAAGTATGAAATAACTCTGCTTGCTTCTACAGAATAAGAAACTAATCATCAACAGTAGCATTGCTTAAGCCCAAATGACAGTAATCTTTATTTCAGGTCTTGACTGAACAAGTATACAAACATACAACCCATGCTGGAGCTAAGCACACAGGACCTCCCTCCTCTCCCTCAAATAAATTATGGGAGCTGTGTGATGCTGTCAGTGCAAGTCAGTCACTTCCCCTTTGACCTGCACCTACATCCCACTTCCAGGCATGTCAGCATCCTCCGCATCACCTTTGTGTTCTTCCCAAGCAACAACTCCTCCTTTATGCAGTTGCTGCTTACTTTTAGAGAACAATTGCAGCCAGAGAAACTTTAGCTCTGGCTTTGCCCCCCTGATAAGAGTTGTAGCTGCAATTGTTCGGTGCTAACCCTTACTGTCCCCCAGCGGCCTGCATCACATACCGACTGCCAGCCCTGCAGCAGGCATGAGTGTTACAACCCATTGAATCCATGTCTGAACTGCAGCAGCCCTCACTTCAGGCAAGACAGGAAGAACAAGCAGCATTTCAATTTGCCACACAGTTTATTTCCCATGACACATTTGGTTCAGTCTTGGCAAGTGTGGCTAGGCTACCTTCATGTAGCAGTTGTCCTCCTGGGCAAGGGCTTGTACAAGTTCCATTTTTTTCTCATTCTTCCTGTTGTTTTCCCTCAATAGTTCTACTGGTCTTTTTTTAACTGCAGGTGCCAGTCTGGAACCCTCACTGTGAATGCTGTAAGAATCAGAAGGACAGGAGTTATCCACAAAAAGAGGAGGTGACAACTTGCCTGAGACCAGGAGCTCCAGGGGCTCTGCAGTTTTTCTTTCTAAGTTTAGCCCAATGCCGTCCAGTGATTCTTCTGGTAAGCTAGCTGCTGAGCCACACCTCCTGCCTACCACATGCTTTATCACCTCTTTATTTTCCCCTGCATTTCCAGTTTTCCTCAAGTGGTTGTGTGTGTGGCAGTGACAGTCAGTATTTAGTCTGTTACTGCTGCTCTCTTGCATTCCTTTACCAGTATAGTTAAAGCTCTTGGGTTTTGTGCCCTTTATAGTTCTTTCTCTGCTGCTAAAATCTTGACACCTCAGTTCTAACAAATGCAATAGCTGTTTGTCCCTGCTGGTATTTTCATCTTTGCTATCACTAGACAGCTCATTAGAGTTGATGATCCAAAGGGTGCCATCACTGGTCTGTGTGACATTCTCACTAGAGGCCAAACCTGGAACAATGCTGCAGTCAAAACCCTGTACAATCAAACATATGTGGTTATCTGTCCTCTGGTCAGGTTCACAGATTATGGTATCTGGAGGTGTTTCTCTCAGGTCGTTGCACAAAAGACAAATGAAGGGTTCATACAGTGACCTAGAGATAACCTCACTGTCATTGTCAGAGTATGTACCATTACATTTAACTACATTATCAAAAGGTTGATAACCAGATGGTTGAGGTCCAATGGGGCAAGAAATTATATTGGCTTTCTTTTGAACATTTTGGTATGTTACTTGCTTATGTATTTCTTCCTCTGGTAGGAAACCTGAAGCACTATCATTTGCATGTATGGAGAAGGATGGAAAATCAGTATGTTCTGAACAGGTGTTTTGAAAATCAAGCTCAGTACAGGGAGATCTGTAGTTGGTGTAACGTGTCTGATTGCTAGGGGGTCGAAAAATTTGATCTCTGCAGCTAAGTTCTGGTGTCTCTGCAAACTGTGTCAAAGGTGGTGAGGAGCACACATTTTCAAAACACAGAGTCAGGCTACTGTTAGCCATAGACTGAGACATAAGGGTATCAAAGCTCTTATATGCAGAGCTATTTGGTTCCTTGAATGCAGACACAAGAATATCAAAGCTCTTGTATGCAGAACCACAGGGCTCTACAGATGGAGACATAAGGCTGTCACAGCTCTTGTAGGGAGAACCACAGGGCTCCACCACTGGAGACATAAGGGTGTCGCAGCTCTTATAGGCAGAACCACAGGGCTCCACAGATGGACACATAAGGGTGTCACAGCTCTTGTATGCAGAGTTACACAGCCCCATGGGTGGAGACATAAGGGTATCAAAACTCTTGTGTGCAGGGTTGCTTATTCTGTCTTTTTTGGTCCCAAAGGATGGTTTACTTGGAGACTCCTGGCTCAGGGCACATGAATCATGCTGACTTTCAGAACTGCATGGAAAAAGGCTTTGATGAACCATATGTTGAAGATCTCTTGCATCCAGAGAAGCAGAATTTATGCTGGAGCTCTGATAGCCAGATTCAAAGGATTCTTCTGATTGTTCTGACTTCTTGCTGGCTGTACTACAATTGCAGTCATCTTGAGAGGCTTTGGTGAAAAGGGAGACTGTATGACATGGCTGCTGACTCTGGGCTGCACTTTCCTTTGTGTTTTGCTGTGATGGATTTTCTGACTCAAGTTTCTCAAAGGTTTTATTCTCACCTGTGATGATGTCTGGGTCTTTATTGTCTTGCACGTTGTTTTCATCTGCCAGGAGCTCAATAAACATGCTAGCTAGTGCATCATTGTGTTCAGTGTGCTCTCTGAAAGCACTGACACTGCTCTCACAAGGCTCAAACATGGTGATCTGGTCACTAGTCTCTTCCTGGCTCTCAGCCTCAGTGTCTGTTAAACATTCACAGATTTCTACAGACTCTTCAACCAGAATTGTCTCAGGGGTTAAAACTGCACTGCTGCCTTTTGGAAACCAGTCTCCAGGCTTGCTGTGGCAACTAGAAGATTTCTCAACATTTCTGATGTTACTTTGAGCCAGACAGTTCTTGCAACTTCTGTTTTTGGAAGTCAAAAGGAAAGGACAGTTAATGTTTATGTAATAGGAAATTATTTTGTACTGTAAAGAGGATGGGGGGGTGTTTCCCTTTATCTTACTTACATTTGATTTTCCATATGACTCTGCTTTAAGTCATGGAAAGGGAACTTAATTTCATCAATGTAGCACAAAACTGAAAACTAATAAAGATACAAATGAGATTTAGGACAGGTGAATTGTGTTTAGTACCTGCACTAGCCAGACAGTAGCACTTATTACATATTCTACTTCCAGTGATCAGGAAAACGTATTTTTTGCAAACCCTTTAAATTACCTTGACATTTTTTACGACCAAATGGCTCTTTGCTGGATTTGGGATTTGATCCCACCATTCTTTCTTCACTCTGCAAGGGAAGCATTAAAATTGTTTGCTTTGACTGCATTTTGGCTTCACCAGTGTACACTTCCCTATTCTGCTCTTCTCTCCCTCTCAGCCATCTGCATTGCAGCAACAGGAAGTGCTTGTTCTGTGCATCTCCAAGGGCTGCTTTTCATTAAACTAGTGCTAAGATGTTTATATGTTTGGTGCATGACTGCTCCACACAACCACAGTCACATGTTCTTCTAATCATGTTCGAAACAGTGTGCAAACCAGACAGGATCCCACTTTCACATTACCACTAAAAAAAATGTGAAAAGAAATACAGATATTTAACCATCATTACTGGAACGCCAGCAAAGACTGGGGTCCAAAACTGACAAACCCCGTAACTGCAGCCTGTTTTGGATGCTACAAGCGGCCCATTCTAGTAAGATTAAGAGTGAATATTCAGTTATCTATTCAGAAAATGCCAGAGTGCAACTGATTCATGTTTATAAAACCTTTGCTCATAGCATGATAAAGGTGCTGCGGAAAACCAAAACATTAGATTCCTGTACTACTAGACATTCAGCTAATAGCAATACTGGTATCTGTGCAAACTGCTAGTCTATAAAACCTGTGAACAGTATGATACATACTTGGTAAAACAGAAGTAACAAGTTACAGATACTGCCATGATCAGTATGCAGGATACAGGAACAGCCATCTGCAGAACGTCTTCAGCTGTTACTTGGTAATCTGTTAAATAAACATACACATTTATGTGTGTATGTGCACATAAATACAAGTACTGGCAATACCAAATTCATTGCTCTTCTTTTCAGCCTTAAAAAAATACTCCTTTAGAGAATGTAAAATAAAGCCTCCAGCAGACAAACAACAGAACATATACAGCTACCAGTGGTGATGGTGTGTGGCGTGTCTGAAAGATCAATGCAGGTACTGCAGTCCATTGCTGTGAGTATTAGGAGCTGGGAGAGCCAACATGTACTGTGAAGCCATTTGTCAGCTCTCGGGGACAAACCTGTCACACAGTCCCTAGAATGGCATTATCATCCCCACCGTAGTGCAGCTATGCTTCTTGTCCTCTCTGTTGCTCTTCAGAGATTTTTATAAACCCTCAGCCCTCTGACAGTTAAAGTATTGCTTAATTTGCAGCCTAAATAGCTCTTGTTCACTTATACCCACTTGCTCTTACATCAATGTTGTTCTTTAGTTTAAATATCTCTTCTCCTTCCCTGGTGTCTACTTCATGAAATATTTATAGAGAATAAACAAATCCCCTTTCAGCCTTTTTTTCACAAGGCTAAACAATCCAACTTCCTTGGTCTTATCTTCCTTAATTTGCCCAGGAGTTGCTTTTTATGTTTAGTCTCTTTGGAAGCCATTACAGATGTATCCACAATACATTCAAAAGGATGCAGATGATGATTCCATAACTCTCCTCTGAGAGGAGAGCAGCGGGGATATATCCACGATATGGTTTATAAAACTGTACCATCCTTTCATCAAGCTGCTATTTGTTACAATACTTACCATAGTGAAATTCAACTTCTTCACTCCATTCACTCCAGTTGGCCGGGTAGTCTGTATAGTTACACCTTACGCTTGCGACATAATCATAGCCTCTCCTCAAGGAGCTTGCAGTAATTTCAAAGCTTTTTGCCTGGTAGTTAATTGCTTTTACAGAAACCTGAAAAGGAAGTGAGAAAGTTCACTTTGATTTCTTTATGAGGTGAAGGGTTAGTGACAGCAATTAAATAACAATAGTGTTATGTGTTTCAGCAACCCTTCACAAATGAGCAAAGGAATGACTGTATACCTAAACTGGTGTGTGTGATACTGCATTTTGTTGTCATAAGCGCATGGTATTTGCAACATGCCACCATGCATGTTCTTCCCCTTCCAGAAGAAGCCCAGCTCTGAAGTGCTGGATTGTTCAAAAGGGTGTCTGAAATGCCTCAAGTGTGCCACAGAGTCATGAACTGCCTCCAGCTTTCTGATGTCTAAGGAGCAAACGAAGTTCAGGGAAACAGAAGCATTTTATTTTCAATCTCTGCCCTGTCTACTGTGAAGAGCAGAGCATTTTGGGGTGGCAGTCAGAAGAGTTTCAATCCTTTAAAGCCCAGCTGAAGCACCCTGGGGCAACATGACCTGTGGCAATTGTGTGATCAAGAACATCGTGGGACTTGCTCTTGCTGGCCCTTACACCATTATTCATTAAATGGTTTCAAGATTTTTCAGAGGACTTTTTAAACCTGAAAGCTCCAGAGAGACAGAAAATGAAGAGACTAACTGTCTCTTACCTCTGTCGGGTGCTGCTTCCTCCAGTATTTCACTTCATAGATGACCGGCTGTCCAGAGAGCATGGAAGGAGGAGAGTAGCTCTCCTCCCAGCTCAGAATGAAATTACCATTTTCAACTTTCTCAATGGCAAGATTTTGGGGGGCCCTTGGCTTAACTGTGTGTTAAAAAATACAATTAAGGAGAACAAGGCAATGGGAAAGCACTGATGGAGAGAAGCAGAGAGACAAACATTCACCAGAGACCAGAATCTCATCGCAGTCAATGCATTTAGCCCTTTTCACTACGCTGTAGCACAAGCATATAGAGGCCAAAACAGAGCAACTGCAAGGTATTCATTAACAAGCACTGAATCTTCAAGCTGGCTGAACAAACTGCCAGTTCAACCTTTTGGTGCACTGGATGCAGCTTTCAGCCTGGAAAAATGGGCACAACCTGCGCCCTTACAATAGCATGCTGTGCCATAGGGCAGGCACAGAGCTTCTGACAACTTTGCAGCCAGGCTGTCCTGGCTACCGTCTCTTAGAAACTGAAGCAGGCTCCTGCTTATTCTGCTGATAAGCAGCAGCGACAATCAACTATTCTGAAAAGAACCAGCTCAACGATGCAGATGAATGCCTGCCTAAGGTATGTGAATGATTTCTGTGAGTGTTTGAGGTGACAAGTGTTATGAACAAGCACATTGTTCTAAACCAACTAGGTGCCTACAGAGAGACATAAACCGTATCTACGCTCTGTCCTGTGAAAGAGCAGTCTCGTTAAGTTTTTATCACTGGTTGTTATAACCGAACACCAATTACCATAAAAATCTCTGTTTAGGGGGGATGATTCAACTAGTATGAAAAATCAGAGTATGACAGAGACAGGAATGGAAGAAATTTCAGTAGGGATAGCCTAGTGTCTTTCTAGAAACTGGAAGCAGCACATTCCTCTTCATCCTTGAATTCTACAGCCAAAAGTAAAACGCACTAAGGACATATCTAAGCCCCCAAACTGCTGCTGGCTGGCAGCTGGGAGGGTATAGCTAGAAGAAGAATCAGCCTCTGCTTGCCCCCTTGTTTATACTCTTTCCTTAAGAATCTACTCCAGAATCAGGTTTCTAAGCCAAATAGATTTTGCATTTAAGCCAGCATGACACTCTTCACCTCTGATAAGGAAAAACTGTTCCAGTGACATGAATGAGGAGTTAGCTAGGATTGCAAAGCCTGGAACCAGATGTCCTGGTGACAAAGTAAACACTTTCTTACCAACCAGAGCTGGTGTAACACTGTAATTCCACATATCAGTCCCATTGAACTGCAGAGTTAGATTATAGGTGAGGCCTGATACAAAATAATCCGGCCATATTGTGCAAGTGCACCTTGAACTGTCCTTTCTGTTCTCAGGGACACACGTATTTCTGAAACACAGACAGAAAATTATGTGATATTTAGAGAGTATGGCACACTATTTCTTGAAAAGGTGAAATCAAGCTTCCCAATGTGTAGAGCTCATCAAATCTGAGACAAACAAGCTTAGTTCCTAGAAATGTCTGGCCCAAATAAATCCAAACCAAAACCAAGCTCCCCCAAACTTGCAAACAACCCATCCTCCCCAAACACCCCTTGGATATCTGTATCGCACAAATGAAAAACTTGACAGAAAGGCTAATGATTGATCCCAAGAGGAAAAATTAACACTCTTCATCACACTTCAACCTCTGAAGAAGCAGGCTTACAGCTTGCTAGTATAGGAACAGATTTACTACAAAGTGAGGTTATTTGGATATCTGGGTGGAGAAATCATATGGAGAGGAACAGGAGAGCCCAGATGCATCTTCCTTTGTAGGAGATGATGACTGGCCCTGCTGCACAACAGGGGCAACAGTCTGTGCTTGAACACAGAGTTAAACTGTGTGCAGAGATAATCAGTCACCTGTGCTCCAGGGCAGAGCACCTTTCACACAGGCTACACATTGGCAAATCAGGTAGGATTTCTCCTGAAGGTAAAATTTCGCATGAAACGAAGGTTGGTAAACTTATGAGAGCCCTACCACCCCTACAAATAGGACTTGATCACTCCTCTGTACTAAGAGTGCAGAGAGGTCTGCAGAAGAGTAGACCACTGAACAGAGCGTGCTGTTAATTGCAGCAACCCATTTTCCTCCTCGCAAGAATAATCTGGATTATGTTTTGTCCCAGAAACCCATGGTAGAGGGAGGGAATCAAAGCTGATAATGGCTACAGGATATATGAGGTTCCAACAATGATAATGTAACATCTTATTAAACACTTACATCTGAGGAAAAAGTTCCTGGCTGTAGTAGAGCAGGAATTCTTTGGAGCAATTCGTCTGTGCAGTCACTTCCCAGTGACAAACCAGCTCCTTGTCATAGTCACTGAAGCATGCAAAGTGCCGTACACGTTCTGCAGCCATAACTAGGGAGCAGCAGCACACAATGAGAAGCAAGAGAATCAAAAGAATAAATTGGACTAAGCAGAAATATTAACTTTTCCACCTAAACAGAGCTACCAACCCCCTATAAATTAAGTGAAAGCATTGTTATTTTTCACATTCTGGGTAAATGGAAAGAGATGCATGTTGCCAAATGTCTGTACCTTTCTGGGGACAACATCTAAAGTCTTGAAGAGGAAGCACGTCTGCAGTAGCAATATTGAAATAGAAAGGCACAACTCATCCAACACAGTCTTCCAAGCACAGAAAATCTGATTCCGATAGCTCTATGTAAAACTCATCCACATTTAATTACAAAACAGCTTCATGTGTTAATACAAAAGGTTCAAAAGCCAAAATGCAGGTAATTAACAGACTCAGACTAAGATCACTGCCTACAGGCTTGTACTCATGCTTTATCTACAATGGTTCTCAGCTTCCCAAATGCATGCCCTCTGCCTCCCCAGAGCAGTTCCCCATTGTCTAGAAGATCTTCCTGTCACAGGCTTCCTTCTAGTATACACCTCTTCTTAATTTCACTCAGTATTTCCTAGTCTGTCTTCTTTTCATTGTTATGATAGTGTTCAAAGACCTGGAGAGATTGAGAGTCACATTGTTCCAGGCACTGAGAGGGTACAGAAAAGCCCAAAGTCTCTGCACTCCCAGTGCTTGTGTTTACAGTCTCTTTCACTGGCAGTATTTAAGAAAAAAACCAGAAAACACTTGTCAAAATATCTTTGTTAAAACTGGAAAGGGAAATGGAATAGACAAGCCTCGGTATCCCTTCCAGCCACATTTTCCATTATTTCAATGCACTCCACACGAGTGAAACAAGGAACAGAAGAGGAGGAGCTTTGTGACAGTAATGCCATGCTGCTATTAGGACTAACAGTGTGCCAAATGTGGTACTGGAATGTGATCATTTCTAAATGAAGCAGTCAGAAGTAGCTAATACTTTTATCATCTCAGACAATTCTTTGCCTTCTTTGACGTTTGTTACTAGTAAATATCAACAGTAACTCCCTTTTCTTGTACAAGTTGTACAGATCTAAATCCTTCTCTCCTGCTCTACATCTCAATTCCTCGTAAAAATTTTGCATAGCTTTGGCTGGTTTTAAGAATCCTATTAACTGATATTTTTCTGATAGTTTCACAAGGGATTCTGCTAGAAGGTTCCTCTGGCAATTATACATGGGCCAATTTTGTTTACATGGCCCAGCACATTACTAACTCCCCATTCTTGTCATTTACAGTGCAAATTCAAGATTAAGTTGCCAACAATTCAGATCCTGTGAGGTCCCTGTCCTTCAGCTACAGCTGCTTCACAGGCTTATTCTTTCCAATGGGTACCTAAGTTTCAGATTATTCCTCCCAAGCAAAACTTTTGTTGTCAAGAACACGTAATTTTGTTTTATCCTTCCTACATTTCCACTTTTCTGTAGGCAACATGTTATTTATTCTGATATAACTTCTGCATACTCTGATACAGTACAGTATCTGCAAATGTAATAAACATGATGGTCAGATGCCTTTTAGTGGACAGGATACATAACATACAACGGGACCTACCGTACCCTCTGGTACTTCAGTAAAAACCCAACTCAAAGAAACACTTAATTGTTTAGTACGGTCAGTGTATGGTCTTTCACCCTCATTAAAATCCACACATCACTTTCACTTGCCTTTCTAAAAGGCCTCCCACAAAACTTGACTACCAAGCAGTCCTGAATCACTTGAGTAAGCTCAATAACCTTAGTGAGGCTCACTTATCCAAATGAGGATGCACGGCAATGTCAAGGAACCATTTTAAAATTCTGTAAAAATTATAATTGAAATTTTCTGGTATATTGACTGGTTATAAACCTAGAACTGACTGCAGCTCATGGTTTCATTAGTGTTCAAATATTTAGAAAAAATGTTTTGCTTTGTTTTAGTTACTAAGGCTAGCTATTTATCTTGTAGATAAGAACTATCACTCTTATGTCCTTTCTGGATGGCAGCACCACATTTAGTTCCCCTTTGTTCTGCATAGTCCTGGATTCTTCAAAAAAACCCAAGAATTAAATTTCTGCAATACTGTAATAGTCACACTGCTCATTTATTTTAAAAGAAACATTACCTATTTATCCTGTTGCTGCTGTTTATATTTGGTTGCCATTTGTATTTTTATTGTTTCTTTTTTTTTTCCACTTTAAGATGCACTTTTAAAAGAAGTACTAACATTTTAAGCCCTTTAAAGATGAATGTCATTATTTTTCAACGTGTTAATGATCTTACACTTTCAAGAATACTTCAGTTAAATGAGGGTCTTCCTGCTGTGTTAAGCTCTGATGATTAGCAGCTTTACTTTATCTTGCCTTTCAGTGTCCTCATGTCTTTCTAAAGTCTAAATTATCTTCTGCATTCTCTTCCTGTGACCTTCTCTCTCTTCCATCTCTGCTACACTGTATTTTTTTAAAACCTCAGATATTTGAGAATTTCCTTTTGAAACCACATACAGCACAGAGTTTGTTTTCAGTTCATGTAGTTAAAAAAGGGAACTGAAATACTGGACTTCTTTTTTTAATCCTTAACTAGAATACCATGCTGAAGAAACTTAAAACATGCAGTTAACTAGGGGGAAAAAAACCCCAAACTGTAAAATTAAACCTTGATAAAGATCATTTACAGAACGTGGGATTACCAAGATCAGATGACCCAGCCAATGCACTCTTGCAAACCTTGATCCTTCTCATTAATTCAATTGTACTATTTCATAGTACATAAGAAAGTAGCTAATAAACCTTCTTTTTTAGAGACAGACTATTTTTAATTTTCTTTCAACTATTTTGGTTTGCTTTTAAAAAACCAAAACTGTAGACTACTGTGGAACAACTTAAAAAATACAGAAAGCAAAATGTAAGATTCATTTTCCAGAGAATAAAAATGCATTGTCGGAAAACATGATTTTATATATCTTGTCTCGTCTGCAGCTACGCATCCTGCCAGACCTAAAGAAGGGTGTATGAAGAACATATAGGACATCACATGTCAGTCATCTGCCCCCGTACAGGCACAAGTCGGGGCACCTAATGTCTGACAGCAAGTGCCTGCAAGATTTGTTCAAATCCCATCAACTACATTTTCCAACTCAATAACTCTGCATACTTTGGAGAATGCAAACTGACAGATACCCTTTAACAGTAGATCTACAGGCTCCATGCCACGAGCATAGCTCCCTCCAGGTCCTGCATGGCCCAACAGCGGCGTTTATGAAAATAAACAAATGAGAGACTAGTGCTTTCTATTCTTATGGGATTTCTACAGAGATGTCCCTGGGTCATTGCTGACCACCCTGTTTGCAGCAAGGTGTCCAACAGAGGTTAGATAATGGGGAAGCAGGGAGATGACTTTCCAAACCTCAGTTTCTCCTTCCTGCAAATTCCTATTTTTAATTGCTCGTATGGAAAAGGTCAATAAAAAGAAAAAAAAATCTAAGAATTTATTCTAGTATATGGATATTTCTGACGTTTGAAGTTACACATTTTATATTAGTTAATTAACGATAATAGTGTTGCCTACTAGTCATGGGAAAATGCTGTCAATAAAACTTCAGTATAATAATTTAAAACATTGACAAGCATACCTTCATTTGTTGTATATGAAAAGAAAAGGGTCCACAGGGTATGCAGTGCAGCACTTAAGAGTCTTGCCATCATTGACACTGGCCAGGTTCAGTAAGACAAGCTATGCTGAAATTCTGCCAACAGAAAACATTATTATAAGTTTACATCAGTGCCCCTGTTAAGAGAAGGGTGTAGTTCTTCCTACCACGCTGCTAGATGTTAGGATTCAGATCCCCTGCAGAGCCTGATCCCCCTAAAGCTTGCTCATGGAACAAGAAGTGTAGAAGAATAAGGATAATACAAATGAGCCAGAAGACTTTTCTGCAAAGTTTTAATTACAGAGGATACTAAACTGACATTGGCAGCAGACCCACTCTTTTAGCCACTAGAAAAGCAAAGCTTCTAGTACATGAGATATTAAAAGGGTAAGCAATAGACCAAATTGTTGACTATCAACATGTCACCAAAGCCCTATGATTCCACTCAGATGACTGAAAGAATTTAAGAATCAAGTGCCTGATCTATTGACTAAAACATTTTCCGAGTCCTATCACCAATACCCTAGATAATAACAATATCATCCTCTTGAAAAAGTTCTTCGCAAAGACCTCTGACCCTTGCTTCAGCAGAACACAGATTCATTAAAACAGTAAATAATTAGAAAGAAGTTGTAAACCACATACCTAATCATGACATAACCAGCACAACTTCAGAGAAGGAAAACTGGGCAGCTTTTACATATTAGAATTCTTTAAGCATAGTGAAGCTGCGCAGGTGAACTGAAAACAGATTAAATAACTAATTTAAGACTTTAAAAAAATTTATTTCCCCAAGATTCTTTTGCTGATGCAATGTAGCCACTGCATGGAAGATCATATTCTGGATCAGATACGGCTACTAGCTTTCATATCACTAGAAATGTATGTGATGCTGTCGTGGTTTAACCCCAGCCAGCAACTAAGCACCACGCAGCTGCTCACTCACTCCCCCCCCATCCAGTGGGATGGGGGAGAAAATCAGGAAAATAAGTAAAACTCCTGGGTTGAGATAAGAATGATTTAATAGAACAGAAAAGAAGAAACTAATAATGATAATGATAACACTAATAAAATGACAACAGTAGTAATAAAAGGATTGGAATGTACAAATGATGCGCAGGGCAATTGCTCACCACCCGCCGACTGACACCCCGCCAGTCCCCGAGCAGCGATTCCCTGCCCCCACTCCCCAGTTCCTAAACTAGATGGGACGTCACATGGTATGGAATACACCGTGGGCCAGTTTGGGTCAGGTGCCCTGGCCGGGCATGAGAAGCTGAAAAATCCTTGACTATAGTCTAAACACTACTGAGCAACAACTGAAAACATCAGTGTTATCAACATTCTTCACATACTGAACTCGAAACATAGCACTGTACCAGCTACTAGGAAGACAGTTAACTATATCCCAGCTGAAACCAGGACAGATGCATTTAAAATTCTGGTAAATTTGTAGGTACAGTCATGCTAACTAATACGGAACCACCATGACTTTGCATTCAGCATAAAGAGGGACAAAACTTGTTCAGCAGCCCATTGTCTGTTAATACACAACCCTTTTGTCCCTCCCTCTCATGCTCTTGCTATTTTCTAATCTCCAAGTCTGGACACAGTGTTCTTACTACCTGCGTGCTACAGTTGCTCTGCTTACATCTGCGAAGTTCCCAGGTGGCATGTTATTTTTGATTTCAAAACCTCACAATTCTCTCTGTGTGATGAAGAGGAGAGAACTTCTCAGATCTCCTTCAGCAGGAGAGTGGTGTTGGGCTTTCTGCAGAAGTTTTGTTAGATTTTGAAGTAGAAGGGACCATTGAAACATATTTGTTGATGGTGGTTCAATACCCTCTGCTCCAGCTACAGGAGTAGAACAACCTTTGACACTTCTAACAGATTTGAGTTTCACCAGCATGCTAGACAAAAGGAACTGGCGAGGGATCAGCAACTCTGCCATGGTATAAACTTGTTAAGTGACTAGCTTAGGAAAAATTTAATGACCTTTTGGAAGTATGCATGTGGGCACTGTATACACGTAAGGCTGTGCAGCCTCAAAGGCATGCTATCAAAGCCATATCCCCTGAAATAATTCCTCTTAAACTGTGCAGATTCTCAAGCACAGCTGCTGAACATTAGTTGTCAAATACAAACAGAATAAACACAAGGCAGGCAACAGCCAGACACTCTCTCAGTTGATTAAGGGACAGAAAAATAATTTTTTTTTTTAAATAAGGACCACCACACCTTTTATTGATAAATACTATCTATATAAATCAAAACTATTGTGAAATGTAGCAATAGAAACTTTTTTTCCCCCGATATACTTAGAAGTACTAGCGCTTTCCTTATGATCAATCTTTACTTCCAATGTCAGATTCAGCTCCAAGGCAATTACCTCGTAATCCAAGTTTCTGCGCTTGTCAGAAAGTCACGTTTAACGATACTGTATTTCTTCGATTCTCACATGCATGATTGACCACTCTTTAAAACAAGCTTCTAAAGATTAAACATGGAAAATTTCAATCTTAGAGGTTAAGGGATAAGAACATCGCTAGTGAAAATAGTAGACTGGAAACTCTTTTGTGACTTTCTCTCAGGCAGTTACTGCTCATCTAGTAATAAAGGACATACTTGAAAGATTTATTTCTCATAAATGGTCAAGAAAACTATTACTCAAGAGCTGAGCTTTTCACATTTTGAGCTCTTCACCTTTTGGAAACAGACAAAATGTGACTGAGTACAGTAATAAATTTTTTGAAAAGAACACAAGTGCCTTTGCTGCTGCTCAGAAAAAAAAAAGAGCAAACTGCTCCAGCATAAAAAGATCATTCTTCTTTTCCTCCTTTTTCCTGGAATTCTCAAGAGAGGTGGCGTTTGCTTTCCAGCCCATTGTTAAGTAATACTGTCACATGATGGGAGTTCCAAGAAACTCTTAAAACTTTGGCAGAGAATCCTGTATCACATAAGCATGTATGAATCAGCAGATGGCAGAGCAAAAATATCTCCCCCATAGGAGAAAAGATCTGTACATGTTGATGAAAATAGAGTTAACCCATCCTCTAATGAAACTGCAAACTTTTTTTTTTAATAATACTGGACTATAAATCCAATGCAAAGGGAGAAAATTAAAATGACAGTAGCTTTCCTGTCTGTTAAGTTTTTCTTTATATCAGATAACGAAATACCAATCTTAAAAAAGTATGTAACACATATAGAGAAAACTAAAATCACAGCAAACCTAGTAATCCCAATATATTTGAGGACAGTAAGGTATAAAAGACATCAGTGACTTCCCCAAAACTATGAAAAAAAATCTCTATCGGGGCTAGAAGCAGGTCTATGTGATTACTGGCACAAGTTACATGCTTTGATCATTTATCATTTCTGTTTCTTGAAAAAAAATATGATATGATTGAAGATATTTCATTTACCAGCAAGAAAAACAATAATGACTTCTGGTCTGGTCTTCTAAATAAACTAGGGTCACATTTAATCTACAGGCATAATGTGCAAAACTGTTATGCTCGAAGAGTAACTCATGCCCGAAAGACATGTGACAGAAATTTCTATGTAAGACTGCTTATTTTACCTTTGCTGCAATTGTACAGGCAAAGGACCACTCCCTATTTTAAAACTGGCTCTTTTAAAAATTAAAGTACATCTTGTCTTATTCCTTCTGGTTTAAAACATTGGCTGTAACTGCAGACTAAAATGAGATAAGCCTTATATAGCAAAGCAAAGCAAAAGTTCATCTACTGATTTTGTATCAAAATTTGAAAAGAAAAAAGTGAGGGAGTAATTTCCATCTTTTTTTCTTGCTGCTTTTATTTCTTTTTCTGTAAGTGCCTATACAAAGTGGCAGACCTACAGGAACATAAATCATAATACCTACTCTTTGACATGCAACATGACTGTCAGAGGCAACTGCACAAAGTATGTGTATGGTGAAAAGTGTAGGCGTCTCATACAAAATGGGTTTTCACAAGAATTTGGATGCTGAGGAAAGAGTCCTGTACACTGCGTTAAGGAGTAAATTAAAGGGTAGACTGGAAGATATTTCCAAGTTCCAATAATTAAGGATGGCAACTTTGGTCAATGGAGGGCCAAAAGATAAAATTCAATAGTTCCCACTTTGTGTTATCTCAACTGAAGAGTAAACCACACCCATGTGCTTCTTTGCAATTCAATTAATACACCACTGTATTAATGTGGTCTCTTCTTACTGAGACTGCTACAGTGGAACACATTGGGTAAGCAGAAACTCACACAGGTCCTTAGATTACGGATTCATTAGTTGGGAGGCTTTGTCCCATTTTTTATCTTAAAGGGCATAACACATATTATTGCTTATCTAGCATAGTCTTTCCTGCACCACTGTATGACTACTAAAGAAGGAATTTAACTTCAGAATGGTGGATTTTAAAGGAGAAAGAAATTCTTTAAAATTCTTTTTAAATGAGTAATTTTACTAATATTTTAATGTCATTCTCATTCCACAAGTTCCTTCGTGTAGTTTGAGATACTTTCCATTAATGTCATTTTACGCAACAACATACAAATGATATCTGCATTTCTGGAGCAGGACAGGGCACATCTGGATAAACCTCTCCTCATAAATATGAAAAGAGCCTCTCAAAATGAGCAGACGGGTTCTCTCTAAAACACTTGAAACTGGTCAATTTTTATTTTTTACTTCAGCTGAGGTTTCTGCATTCCAACATATTTTCATATTGAGATGACAGAAGCCAGCAAAGGGCGTAATAACATGTCATTTGGGCCCATAAGGAATACAGTACTTTCACATAATTTGAGAAACTGCAAATCTAAGTCTGCAAGCAGCAAGATAACTTCAGGTATTTTCTAATTCAGAACCGACAGAAACTATGGAAACTGCTGAATTTGGACACATTGACAAAAACCGCCGAAAATACAAAGCGTCCGGACTAAAACGACTAACTACAACAGCTCACTTCTGATGCCCCATTTCTGAACCCCGGGTTCTGAGAGTTTAGCACAAACTGGTCTGAAGCGCTCTCAGAACCCACACACGCTAGCAGTCGTTTTTGAAGAAGGAGACCCGAGAGCGGGGCGCAGCTCTGCGGTTCCCGGCTGCCGGCTAAGGCGGCTTTTCCAACGGAGCGCGGGAAGAGCTTCGGTGCCCCCGCACCCGTCGGGCAGGGCCTCGCTGCCCGCGGGACGGGACGTTCCGGGAATTAAACCCGTTCTGCCTTCGCTTATTTCTAAAGCAGCGCCCCAGTTCAGCAACCTTAAGGAAGGAAAAGCACTTCTGTCGACGACAACGCCCCGAGAGAGCCCTTCCCCCTCGGGGGGAGCCGCAGCCGAGCGGCACCGCCACCCGCGGGATGCCCGGGGACCGGCCCTGGGGCAAGCGCTCCCGGCCGCCCCCCGGCAGCCCGCGCGTCCCGGAGACCTCCCGGCTCCCCCCCGGACCCCGACAAGGCCAAGGGACATTCGGAGCAGTAATTGCAATTCCACCCAACCCGTCCCGCGCCAGCCGGCGCAAGCCCGGCACCTTCCCGGAACCGCTCAGGCTGCCGCCCCGGCCGCCGGCAGCACGGAAAAGCCAGCTCGTTTTCAGCATCGGTGCGCAGAACGGCAGACACCGCATCAGCCGCGAAGCGTAAACCGCGCAAATTCCGGTTCAGCCACAGGTAACGAGAAGGAGACCGTCCTTCCGCCGGGCGGGGAGGGGAAGGGGCAGCCGCCGGAGGTACACTTGCCTGGTCGGTGCTCTCCCTCGCCCGGGCTTCGGTTCGGTGCGGACCGGGGGGTCCCGGCTCCAGCGGCACCCGCGCGTCCGCCCCGACACGGGCACCGCGCTCCCCGGACCCGCGTCCTCC